CGAACCCTCGACCTCCCGCACAACAGTCCAGCGCTCTATCCATATTCTTATTTCAATAGCATGACAACTGTCTTCTTTCTACATATTTATGTATCTAAAATCATGGCACTAATCACAGCGCATGTAACGTTGCTGAAAAGAACGAAAACTTCAGTTTTATATATTTTTTTTCAGTATTCACCCACTGCCGCGTGCGCAGAATAAGTAATAAGTGCAGAATAGAACCGTGTTTCTAATTCTCCTTGAAGCCGCAGCGTAGTATGTGTATTTACAATGTGTGTGTTTTTCACAAGCCTCACAACACAGGCAAGTCAGTGGTAGGCAGCTAAAAAGCTGTCAATAAAAAGTGTTTTTTGAAGTCGAAAATCGACGAAAATGAGACCTGCGCACGATTATTACTTGATTTTCCTAGAAACCGTCAGAAAAGCCGGTAAAGCTGACATCTCTTTAAGAAGTGATGCTCCACCGCTTTGTGCGAAATAGTAAGCAACAAAACTGTCTTATCGTGTCCTTTACTGCTTGTCTCATTTCTCTCATCTTCCAGTAGTACAAAAATGGGTTAATAGTCGAGTTCGATAACAGTAATGATACCGTCAAACACCAAACGAATGTAATTGACTGGTTGTTTAATCCGGTGATCGTAATGAAAGCTGTGACTGAAAAGTACGGAAGATAACAAGCCAGTAATGCCATTTGTACCCACAGGGCTATGGACACTGTCTTTTGGTATCGCGCTTTATTCAACAAAATTGTCTCTCCACTCCGTTGTCCGCCTCGTTCATGTTTGTATTGCACTTGTGCTTGAAAAAGACGAAGTGTGCGATAAATCTTGGTGTAGCAGAGAGAAGAGATTAGTAGACACAGTAACAACAATGCACAAACGAATCTAAAGGCAATAGGTATACTATAAAATGCTGCAATTGAAGCGAAAGTGCAAAAAAGGAAAAGAGTGGCAATAAGGACCCTTACTCGCCTCACAGTTACAACCTGTCTGTATCTCAGCCCCAACAACAGAGCAAGAAGTCTGTCCACACTTATTGCAGTCATTGTTGACAAAGATACACCAGCAAAAACAAAACACGCAATATTATGAACGATGTAAAAGTGATAACAACCCTTCGATTTTTGTGATAACAAGTAAAATCCACTGCGAAGAGGATGCACGACAAGGCCCACTCCCAGATCTGTGCACGCTAGGCAACCAAGCAGAAGTTTCGACGGTGGATGAAGGGAAGAAATTTTGAAGAGAACGAAAATTATCAGAATATTCCCCAAAAACGCAGTGATCGACATAGGAACACCTAAAGCTGAGATGATTATCCTCTGAGCGGTGCTAAGACCTTGATTGCAGAAAAAGTCTTGATGTGGTGTCGTATGGTTTCTATCATCACGTGAATTCGCCATTTTCTCCTTCGCGCGTGTTTCTTTAGTTTGTCGGTATCCACTTGTAGTAAAACAGCTGGGGTTAGTTCCAAGCCTTTAGCTCTTATCCCCATACATTTAGGCGGAGTCAAATCATTCAGATCAAGTGTTATTTTTCCCTGAAAATCAGAAAGCGAGGTGTTTTAGAGTGGAAAATAGCTGCAAATAGGCTTAATTATGGCAATTCTGTTGTTGATACGTATTCCCGTGTTTACTCAGCTGGCGGTTAATTTAAAAACTAAAGCGGAGTGTTCGAAATATCTTAAGCTTGTTTTTTCCTTAATTATTGGAAAATATATTAAATATGTTCAACCTAATACTGTAAAAGTCATATCTAAGGTTAGCTAACTATCTGCATGAAATCATAGTAATTAAATAGTCAATTCTCCATAACTTTGGGGGTGAACGTTCATCCTTTTCATTTTAGTATTTTGTTATAAATGGTTAGATGATCTGTAAAAAATAACACCCTATCGTTCAATTCTAACACACAGAAAAGCATGAATTTTTAAGAAAAGGTTTTATCCATATGAGCAAGAAGAAAAAAACCATCTCCTTGTGTTTCATAATAAAAACGGCTTTTAGGGGAATTGATTCGAAAAGCCGAAAGATTAAACGTGAAGAGTCTCATGTTTGGAAATATGTTTCCTCGGCTAATATGTAGTAAATCATATCAGGAGTTTTTCTGTTTAATTAACTAGAAACACAGGTGATTTACGTATGATGCACGATCCTCGCAGTAGAGAGCGCTATTTATGCAATAGCGAAAATCAGACCTGAAAAAAATCAGGCCTGTACGGGATTCGAACCACTGACCTCTGCGATACTAGTGCAGCGCTCTACCAATTGAGCTAACAAGCCAACTGGGAGCAGGCCGTTAAGTTGATTCGTAATAAACCCGTGATGATAAATCAGATACAATGTATATATGAAGTTCATATATTTTGAACTGCGGTATTAGATACGTATGATGCACGATCCTCGCAGTAGAGAGCGCTATTTATGCAATAGCGAAAATCAGACCTGAAAAAAATCAGGCCTGTACGGGATTCGAACCACTGACCTCTGCGATACTAGTGCAGCGCTCTACCAATTGAGCTAACAAGCCAACTGGGAGCAGGCCGTTAAGTTGATTCGTAATAAACCCGTGATGATAAATCAGATACAATGTATATATGAAGTTCATATATTTTGAACTGCGGTATTAGATACGTATGATGCACGATCCTCGCAGTAGAGAGCGCTATTTATGCAATAGCGAAAATCAGACCTGAAAAAAATCAGGCCTGTACGGGATTCGAACCACTGACCTCTGCGATACTAGTGCAGCGCTCTACCAATTGAGCTAACAAGCCAACTGGGAGCAGGCCGTTAAGTTGATTCGTAATAAACCCGTGATGATAAATCAGATACAATGAATATATGAAGTTCATATATTTTGAACTGCGGTATTAGATACGTATGATGCACGATCCTCGCAGTAGAGAGCGCTATTTATGCAATAGCGAAAATCAGACCTGAAAAAAATCAGGCCTGTACGGGATTCGAACCACTGACCTCTGCGATACTAGTGCAGCGCTCTACCAATTGAGCTAACAAGCCAACTGGGAGCAGGCCGTTAAGTTGATTCGTAATAAACCCGTGATGATAAATCAGATACAATGTATATATGAAGTTCATATATTTTGAACTGCGGTATTAGATACGTATGATGCACGATCCTCGCAGTAGAGAGCGCTATTTATGCAATAGCGAAAATCAGACCTGAAAAAAATCAGGCCTGTACGGGATTCGAACCACTGACCTCTGCGATACTAGTGCAGCGCTCTACCAATTGAGCTAACAAGCCAACTGGGAGCAGGCCGTTAAGTTGATTCGTAATAAACCCGTGATGATAAATCAGATACAATG